TTTCGACCTTGTTAACATTCTGGCCTCCTTTCCCACCAGCCCTGGAGAAAGTGATTTCCAAGTCTTCTTCTGGTATTTCAACATCCATTGACTCAGGTATAAGAGGCATGACTTCAATACCTGAGAAGCTTGTCTACAAGAAATTTAGAGTTTAATGTATCTATTCATCTTTGTTTTTGTATTTAAAATACTGGAAACCGTGTGCGAGTCTGTGGGGTGTATGTGTGTGTGAGACAGATTAAGGAGATAAAACAGGGAAAAAATTATAAGGTTACCTGCCGAAGGCCTTTGGCATTAAAAGGTGACTGTCTCACAATGCGATGGGTGCCTTTTTCCCCAGACAAGTACCCGTAGGCATATCGGCCTTCAACTTCAATTGTAGCCGATTTAATTCCAGCTTCATCTCCAAGTGATTTCTCAACCACTTTTGTTTTGTACTTTTGCTTCTCAGCCCATCTTACATACATCCTAAGAAGCATGTCAGCCCAATCCTGCACTGGAGTTTATCAAAAGAATTTTACATGAAACAGGAAAATCAGACAGAGATTATACCAACTCTACAATAGTACATAGTTGACCATCAAAAATATACCCATATTAGCCTATATTGTGCATGAGGGTGTCTTGGAAAGGTGATGGTCAATATCATATGCATGGAAAGTATCGTGTACAGAAAATGCAACCAGTAGGAAGATAACAGAAAAGAAGAGTTCTTGCAATGTGGTTGTTGGTGCTAGATATCTTCATCTCTCCAACATTTGCAGTTTAAGCGTGAAGAAAAAGATGGATAATCTTAACGTTAGTGCTTGTGGGAAACTATCAACATTTTGTAGTTAATTCGAATCCTTTGAATCAGGATGTGGCCAAAGATACTGATTCCCGATGCATGATTTGAAATTTGAGAATATGTGAATTACACACCAATAGTGCATATTGCTGGAAAATCACTAGCAGGGAAATTTAAATAGATTTTGTGTCAAGCCACTCAATTTGCTGTATATGTATTTCTAACTTCTGATCAAATATACTTGCCTCAAATTTATAAGCTAATTAATCATAAATAAGTTTCAGGGACAAAGATATACAAACATGCTTTGAATTTTGATTAACTTTAGCAATGGCTTCAAATAAGTTAAGTCAACAGTCCACTTGACCAGATGCATATCCTATTGTCTTTATTCGGTATAACTGCTTGCAGAAAACAATTTTTGAAAACTGTTTTCCCAAATAGAAGCAAATGAGCCTTGGCAGAAGATAAAAGGAAACTATGCTGAAAATCAGCTCCGGAAAGTATTTAGAACTAAAATTACCTGTGCATCAGTACCCCCTGCACCGGCTGTAATATTAATAACAGCACCTTCTTTGTCGTATGGGCCAGATAGAAGTTGTGTAAACTCAAAATGGTCCAATGCCTTGTTCAAGTCCTTAATAATACTAACAGCCTCCTCCAGAAGGCCTGTATCAATGGAGTCCATCTCCTCAGTAAGCTTTACTATTGTTTCTGCATCTTCAATCTGCATTCAGCCTATAACACATGAGTACTTTGTAATTTCTGAAACTAGCCCACATTCATTCACCCAAATTCAGAGTAACAGATGTTTAGAGCAAACCAATTAAATATTCAGCAACAAAACAATATCATGGAAAATGTAGACATGAAGCACATCTAAAGGAACAATCAATGAACTCATGGTTTATGAACAATGAAATTACAATGTCCTGAATTCTCCTAAGCTTTCCAGAGTTGTTATTTCTCAATGATCAACACGCATCAATTAGAGTCACCAAGTAATTTTGAAAGAATAAAGTCAGAAATACTAATGAAACTTGTAAAGAAACTAGATTTAGGGCATTCAACCTTCTCTCCTAAAATTTACCACTTTTGCTAGAAAGAAAAAGAAAGATGTTATACTGCCTCAAAGTGTACATTCTGCAAAAATTGATCTTCTATCATCATTCTTTTCTTTTCTTTTGTGTCTTTAATCCCAGAGAACCTCTCTTTGTCAGATCTCTTTGAACTTACTGCCTGAAAAAATATTATCTAGTATATCTTTAGGAAATTCTGCAAGCAGCTGATCAGTATATGGGCTGTTATTCGTTGATCTTGTGTCCGATTAGAAAAAAAGGGCATAATTGAAGCAAATTATGGAACAAAATAGTTCCACAGTTATAATAGACACAAGCCTCACCCGTGCTTTAAAGTCATTGAGAAGCTTCATTCTGTCTCTGACATCTGTCAGATCCTGAAGTATTTCCTGAGCTTTAGCACGATCATCCCAAAGAGAGCTATCTACGGCAGCATCCTCCAATTTTGCAAGATCTTCCTCTAGTTGCTTAAGACCAGCAGCAGCCCTAATTTCTTCTACACGCTCTGATGTAACCTCTACATTCCTCCTCAGAGTATAGAAATCTGTTTTAAGAGTACCAGAGCTATTAAAACAGAGTAAGCACTAGACATGTACACTATGTATTCTCTTCATTATATACTTCAATATGAGATCATGAGCACACGATGAGGAGAAAGTGGTAGAACACCCCATAACATCTTGTTGGCATGAAAAATACCATTCTTATGGTTAGGGTCCTGGGAATGCAAAGCATTCTTATAGCATCCATAAGTTGGTTAAAGTCCGATATACTCTCACAGAAACTAGCTACAGGATTATCGCAGGTCTTAGCAATTTCTTCTCCTTATTATGTTCAAATAAGCTCCAAGAGATTCATCAGCTGTTCCGTCTGAGAATCAAGCTCTCAGTTATAACTCATGAATTCACTTCCACTGAGCATTAACTCAATGGCACAAATATGCCCTATATAATACCTATCCTCTGATATAACCAAGTATGTCAATTCACAGTTTTTTAAGTGCTACAGTTACCTTAGCATTAGTAACTGCTCAATCACAGTAACATGGTTAGCTTGAATTATTTTTCTTGAATCTAATGAAAATTTAGAATTCGTTCATGCCAAATGTTGACATACAAGATAACTATTCTCATAACCTTCACACGCATTGCCAAATTAGGCCATTGCACAATGACTGCAAACTTCATAGAAGACCAGGAAAAAAGATTTTTAAAAGACATTACATGATTGCAACCTCAATTCGATTGTTACTAAGAGACACTAACCAGACAACCTATAGAAATGTTCAGAATTCAGTTACATGCCAACCACCGAAATCTTAAAAACATGAAAGAATGATTTTTGTATTCATCAAATGTTCACAAAATAATTATTATCTAAATTGCTATCAATAGTTCTGAGAAAAAAATTGTTATCAATAGGCATTATCAGGGAAATATATGGTGCCAAGTTGAAAAAAGCCTACCCGGCATTGCCCATTCACTTGTTTCAGTACTAACTCCCACCTCAGGTGCGGCAAGCAAGACTTTACTGCCTTCATTTGAACACACAAACCACCACCAAAAAGCAAGCAAAATATTATTCAAAAATCACAGCAATCAAATTAGCAAGGAAGCAAAATTTGAACATCAATGAACAAAACAGAGCTACCATCAAATTAAATACCAAAACAGAAGAAACCCAACAAACAAGAAAACATGAGTTAATCGCAGGAACAGAAAAAACCCGACAATAAATACGCAAAAAGCTACAAAAAAGTTTGCAACTTTATACTCTAACAACAAGAAAAAAAGTTACTACTTCACTACTTACCAGAAAGAAAAGCAGGAGAGTGAGTGGCAGAGGAACCAATGGATAATAGACAATAAGTAGAAGTAGTATAAGAAGGAGGGGATAGAAAAGGGGTATAACGATGGTGATGCAAGGAGAAAATGGGGCTTTCTTGGTTAAAAGTGAGAGATATTGATGGTAATCTTCTTGGTGATAGAAGTAGCTTAGTGGGCTTGAATGACGTAACTGACAGTGTTGTTGGATGAATTATGAAGCTCTGCAGCATTACTCCCTCCATTTACGCTCACAAGGAGGAGTGGGAGAAGTGACAGCAAATTCCCAAAAGCAACAGCCCCAGCAAATTGCTTTCCAAGCTACAGGGGAAGCGTTTATCCTTCTTGATGAACAGGAGCAAACGTTATCTAAGAAAATAATAAGAAAAAAATATGAAGAAAAGAAAATAGAAATAAGATTAAGAATGAGGCAAGAAAATGAATATCGTAATGCTAAAAGGAAGGGGAAAATATAATTTACCCCAAATTGAAAAATTCCCATGTTGCCTCTCCATCATTTGGAATATGAGATTATTTGATAAATTACAATAGTATTTTTTGAACAGAAGAATTATAATATTTTTTGTGATGTAATGTATACGAAGTAAAAAAGTTGTTGGAAAGATAAAAGTTAATTAAAAATTATAATTATGATATAAGCAAAATAGTATTGAAAAAAATTGCTCTTCAAACACACTAATTTTGTGCATTATTCGTCAATTATTAAAAAAATTTAATTACATCTGCCTCGTTTACGGTTATAAGACAATGGATAATCAAAGTTAAATCAATTGTATACAAATATTTTCGAGAATGTGCTCATATTAAGCCGCAATCAACACTTGTTCATGAAAAATATGGAGATCTATTCATTTTGAGTCTCTCCCTCTCTCTCTCTCTCACACACACACATATGTTGAACTTATTTTTACTTCATCACAATTTTCATAAAAAGTATTATAAATTAAAATAATTGTGGCTAATGTATAAGGATGGTATCTATGCTTCATTTCTTTATAATACAATAAACATGATAGCCTTCTATAAACATTAAACAAACTCTTTAAATTGATGAATGCCTCTTGCAAGAATAAATAAGAATATTGAAAGAACTTCACATAGATATAAAGAATGAAATAACCACCTAGCCAAAGAAAAACACAAAAAGATAGGGGGAGCTAATCAAGGCAACTGATAGTTGAAGTCCTGAAGATAGCAATCTGAGAGAAGATTAGATTGGGGGGGCAATATGTAATTTTGTTAGAATAAGAGAGAAAAATGAAAATGGAGGGTAAAGGGCAAAGGGGGCAACAACAAAACAGGAAACCGGCAGTTGACTAAAACCCAGAAAGCTGTAAAACCTCTAAGAATTCGAAAACCAGCCTTCCACCTTGAATCGCCATTACTGCTGCTTTTTTTTTTGCCCAAATTATTTTCAACGCCCCTCGCCTCCGAAAACCCAGGAAAGAAATCCCACCAAAACATAAGTTCTTAAGTTTATGGTCGCCTAAAAGATAAGAATCTTGGGGAGCTGTTGGCGTTTAGGAGATTGCAGTGGACATTCTTGTTGCTACAAAATTACAACTTGACTAATTTTCAAGGTAAGAAGATGCTAAAAAAAGGAGAAATGGGAAGAGAATAAATAGGCAATCTTGAAACATTCAGGCTGTTTACTGTTGCTTATGCCTTAGATGCCTAAATCTGCTGTAATGCCGGGATAATTGCTTTTCTTCAAGTTCTGTGATTTTTTTCTTCCCGCTTTTTTTATTTCTTTCTTTTTTTTGGGTTAGTGAGAGGCTGCTTTTCTTGCAGTTATTCGTGTATAATCGATGTCTTGTTAATACTGCCTTTGTGTATATATTGAAGTTATATAGTCTTTGATTTGTACTTTTTTTGGTTTTTGGTTGATTCCGTAGGTGAGATAAGTAGTAGCTAAATCATTTACACAATTAACTGAATGAATTTGAGTGTTCCTCTTTGATAACGTGTTTACTAACTTATTAGACTTATCCATGTTCTATTTTACGGATATGTACTTTCAATATTTTCTTTTTGTTTAGGGAAGAAGATAACTCAGAAGACAATAACAGAAATCCTAAAGCTCAAAAAAAATAAAAGTACAAGCTTTTTGAAAAGAAAAAGAAAATAGGAGAGAATTAAAAGAGAAAATGAGAGAAAACTGTACTTGTAATAGCATTGTAGTGGTCTAGACGGAAACCTAGCAGTATCATTAAGTTGCCATAATTTTTCGTCTTCCCCTTGCATTCATTTCTTTCAACATGGGTTCTAACGTCTTGCTGTTTCACAGAGGTTAAGTTATCTTACCATTGGCTGCATGCATCTGTAAAATGACAACGAGAATGGAGTGCCACGTATGTGGTAATTTTAGCTTCAAGGATGGTGGCGATGGCTTCTATTATTGCAGCGTCTGCAGCTCACAAGCTGATGATATTGTTGACACTGGTGTTGATGACGAGGACCTCTTTGGCAACAAAATCTACAGTCAGACTGCCCATCGTTCCCAGCCCACAACTGCTGCTGCAGCCGAGGACATTTCTCAATTTAAACAAACACAATCCCAGCAAAATTTGCTTCAAGACTTGGTGGTGGATGCCGATACTGATGCAGGAGATGGAGTTGGGCCTACTGGGCCTAGTGATTTTGGGTCATATCCCGAGAATTTAAGCTATGATGACTATTATTCAGAGATAAGGTCAAGGTATTTGATGGGGTATCAGATATTGATCCAGTTGCAGTGTAAGGCTTTGGTTGAGAAGTTCAAAGTCAGCCCATTGATCATTGGTCTGGTGGGACCAATATGGTTAAGATATTTAGCTTTCACAAGGATAATGGCTGATGACTGGGCAGATCAGGTTATTCATGAATCAGAGTCTCAAAAACAAGGTATCCTTCACTTTTAGTTCTTTAGCAATGGAAAACTCAATTATAATGTAACTTCTTGGTTTTATTGTTGTTACTGTTATAGTTTCTATGGTTTCATGAAAGTAATGGCTCCGTTTATTTCATTTGGCTAGTTTAATATATTCATGCTTAGGACACACACTATGAGTTTTGGGAGTGTAGTTGTTGATTTTGGAGTGAGAGAATACTTAGTTTAGTAAGGGCTTTTTTCTTGTGGGCAAATAAGAAAATGACATTACATCAAATCCACCTTTATGCTTAAATATATAGTCAAAATTAGTAGCTTGTATTGCTATAATTATGTGTGTGTTTAGTGAAGTATAATTATTGTAAATTGCAATGTAGTGCAGACAACTGAGTTGCCTAAGGTGGCAAAACTCATGATCCATCCTTCCATTTTTTTTCTAATACCCCTTCACTTTTCATGGATTTGCACTAGTAACAACTTTTTGAAGATAGTTGTCTAATAGCAGTTCTAATGATTGTAAGTAGCATATTCAGCAGGTTGTAGGTATAAAGTGAGTACAGATCCAAAAACTTGTAACCAGTTTTGCTATTCATTGTCTTTATTGCTCTGGAAACATTCCTACTCTCCTATTTCACATAAATTACCGTAATCATTTTGACACATTGCTTGTAGAAGACTCTTTTGCATATGGTTTTTGTCATTTTTTGTCTGTTCGAACTTCTTCCATGAAGGGGTGGGCATTTTTATGACATTTATTAGTCACTGTCCCAGTAGCATTAAATATAGTGGAGAATCACTGATGAAGAAGATGATAAGGGGGAGAGTTTGGGTGTTGGGGGAGTTTCACGAGAGTAAATTTCTGATATCTGTTTTTTGGGTCGAATGAATTTGAGTGCAGGGGATGCTGCTGATTTTCATCCTTCCGCTAAACAAAGTAAAGAGCCACACAATATATTTGGACAGAGGGCTGTTACATTATGGCATATATCCCTCCGCAGAACAATCCCATTATCTCATTCTTTGGCTATAAATTTTCTTGTTTGTCTTCTGGCAAGAGAGGCAATCTTGCCAACAGATATACTAAAATGGATTCTTGAAGGAAAACTTCCATATTTTGCCGCTTTTGTTGAAATTGAGAAACAACTTGGACCTCCTCCTAGTGCCTGTCCTATCAGTTCTAGTCATATGTTTAGACCTAAAACAACTATGTCAGCTCAGAAGTTGGAGGCACTGGCAGGGTCTATTGCTCAAAAAATAAATCTAGAATTGCCTCCAGTGAATTTCTATGGTATAGCTTCCCGCTTTGTTGGGCAGTTATCTATTCCTGTCAAAAGCATTCTCCAACAGGCATTTCGAATATATGAGTGGTCTATGCCTCCTGAGTTGTATATATCAGCAAACATTTTAAGGCTACCTACACGCATATGGGTGATGTCTATACTGATAGTGGCAATAAGAATTCTCTATAATTTAAATGGTTCTGGAAAGTGGGAAAAGAGTTTGTCTAGTTCCAGGAGCTCATCATCATTGGCTGGTAAGGATGGAAAACAACCTACACATGCCACTAATATGACTGATGATGCTGAGAAGGACTTGTCATCACATGATTTGTGCCTTCGTGACAATGCATCAGATGATGAGGAATTTGAATTGGATGCTGTAGACCTTCTAAAGATTCTTGAAACTAAGTATGACAATCTCAGAGATACATATGGTAAAAATTTTGAGTGTCCTATTCTAAAGGCAATTGTTTTCGTGCTGCTACTGATTAGTTGATTTTTAGCTTAAAGAATTCTCACTTTCTTGGTTTGACAGATTATTCAAAAGGTTTGACATCATATCTGCAACACTGTAAGGATGTGGTGTTTGCTGGTTCAGGACAATCCTTTGAGGATTATGAAGAAGAAAAGATAATAGAGGATTTATGGGAGTTTTATCAGAATAAGGTATTTTTCACCAGATATCTATCCACTCCAGAATAGCAAATGTAACCTAAAACATAGTGGTCAGTGAAAAAAAAAAAATGCACAGTGTTTATGCATTTGATTGATGCTGTGGGGTGATATTTTATATGTGAATTGTGCCTGGTGTGAATTAAAAATGTGGACTTGTTTAAACTTGCATGTAAATATTGTTCCTGAAGTATCTAAAAATGTCCTCTTCTTCCTTCAATTCACATTTTCAACATTAACTTCCGGCTAATCTTCTGTCCATGCCCACATGATACTCAGTCCTTTAGCTTTGCTTGACATTTCCCTAGCATCCTTTGTCTTCCAAAAGACAATGTTGTCCTTTTGCTTTTGTACTTGCTTCAAGCTTCATCCTCTTTTTCGGTAATATTGGATAGCTTTGAGTTTAAAATAACCTAGTGAACTTTAAAAATTTTTGTTTCATCAGCCATTTTAGCACATGTTAACACCTTAAAGACATTTGCTTTTTTAATCTTTGGCACCATTTCATGTCAAGATGATCATGGAAAATTATTCAATATAAAATTGCCTTATTTGGTGGAAGGGGGTAAAAAAGAACAGGAGCTAAAAGCTAATATTAAAACTGAGTCACTAACAAGTTTCCTCCAGTTAAGTGAAAATTAATGCTCATATGGAGCTAATTATTTCTTTCTTGTTGATTTCAGGGTGTTGAATGTCTGGAAGATCAAGAAATGAACTCATTTCAAGATAGTGGTTTGCACCAAAAGAGATCCATGGACGACATGAGAAACATACAAATAAAAAACAAAGAGTGTCGATACTGCAAGAACAACCTATCAGAAGATGGCTCACAATATAGTATGGATGAGAAGAACTATTCTTCCAGGTTTGAAGATTCATCCCATGAAGGTCGATCTTCAATGGAGTCCCGCAAGGTTAAAGCAATAAGAGAACTGAAATTAGATATGGAAACGAACAGATTTGCCTATATTCCTCCTAGGCAAGTAATTATGAGTCAAAGATACATCAGTTATAATAGGAGAAGAATAGAAGGTGCTTTTGTTTATGCTGCCCATGCAGACTATTATATCTTACTTCGTGCCTGTGCAAGGGTAGCCCAAGTTGATGTTAGAAGCCTGCACATAGGTGTATTGGAGTTTGAAAAGAGATTGAAGCAACTGGAAGAGAAAATGGGCAAATGCTTGCATCTGAAAATACCCAGCGGCAGTTCTGGTTTCTGTGCTAATGAAGATGATTAAAGTCCTACGAATGACTGAACTATTTTTGAAGTAACAGGATGTCCGTTGGTGTTCTCTCATCACTTTTCCCCAAGAAATTGAACTACTGGAAACTCATCCTTTGTATGGGAAGCCCAAAAAGTATGTCTTTGCTTGTGGAAACATTGACTAGCACCTGAATATGTAAATAGACCGGTGAACTACTGCAATTTTGCTAGCTACATAACCCAGACTGATTCTCAAGTATGGCATGCTGCTATGTGATACAAGTTTTAATAGCTATGAGCATTCAGGGTGATATCAGCTTTACTGTGAATAGTAAAGGAGAAAGGTCAATAGTCTAACAGGAGAAACTGAAATGCGCTGCTTTTTTGTCACTTATGGGTGGAAAAGACCCAAGTCTTTGCAGGCCTGTGTACTTACCTACCCTCGAAGTTGCAAGTACAGAGCTCTTGGCAGGTCTCATTTGGAACTTGCCATCACAATGCACCAATCGAAAGCATCCTTGAAGTATGCAGGTTCTTCAGAGAAGCTCTGCTTGGTCACAATGTGTGCATGTATCTCGAAAACATGTTGTGGAGAAATTTTTGGACAGGGGTTTGGAGGCAAAACTGTGGAAACCACATTTAGCATATGTCTAGTTTGAGAAGAAACATCTTTAAAATAGGACGTTACTGACGTTTGATTAATGAACTTACCTCTATATGGCATATACTGCATAGAGTAAGGAATGCCGGACCTCAGACAGTAATGAGCTACCTACATGCTAAATACCAGTAAGTTTCTTAACTTTCAGGAGTAGGTCAATAGAACAAAGAGTCCTCTTTAATTGTGCATACCATTGTGTACTATCTCTAGCAGTCTTTTCGCACTTCTGGATTATGGTAGAATTCTACCACTGATGACAAGATTAAGTTGTTCGTCCAATTATCTAAATTGCCAATTTCTACTTCTTTTTACTATGTTATTATTGTCTTTGATTACTTGAAAGTTGTATTGCTGTTCAATTTGAATCGCAACTGCCCTCTTTTTCTTATGATGGTCTTGAGGTAATGGTTCTGGATTATGCAGTGGTTTGAGAACTAGTGATTTTTACACAACATGCCATAACCATTTCTATAAATTCACATGCTGAACGGTTTTGCTAGAAACGGTTGGTGCATAAAACATACCGGTTGAAACCCTGTGCATTGTAGAGATGAAGGATTAAAAAAACCGAGACATTGAAGTTCAACCATGTTGCTAATAGTTCTTTGTGTTATCAAGAGCAGTCTTGAAGCCTTGTGCATTTTAGAGATGAGGATTGCAAAACGGGATATTTGTTTCCTATTTCGTATTGTACTTCATGTCAAATTTTCATTTACGCTTTGATGGTTTGTAAGGTTGAGCACTTTATTAGTTAACATATTTAAGGTCACAAAACATATTTTTACTTTGGATATGTATATATATATTCGTGACATTACATGGCAGTTATGGGGAAAGGGGAATAGGTTCAAGTGGATCATGGGATCCAACGAGGATTGAACTACTATCGGATCAATAGCATCCGTTAGATTTAGAAACAGCCACATATACACTTTTGATGGCGAGCAAGGTTGAACGTTCTCTATTAGTTAACAATTTAAGGTTAGAAAACCTATTTTTACTTTGGATGGTCCCTTTTTTTTTTTCTTTTTTGACATTACATGGCAGCTATGCAGGAAGGGAAGAGGTCCAAATGGACCACAGGATTGATCTTTAATATATACCATACCTCAACATATAAGCATTAACCGTTTTTCACAAACAGTAGACGTAGCTACCATTTTCACAGTTGCCAATACCTTATCTAATCGACTCATGTTGTCATTTGTACACCAAGCAACCATTATTGCGATCCTTTTTGTTGTCCTTGAGTACTATCATACCACTGATATTAATGTAAACTTTTTTTTTTCTAAAACCGCTGTACAATGCATTTCAATAATCTGTAAAGATTAAAAACTGGGATTTGATTTTGATTCAAGAAATAGAACTTTGATAATCCATGGAGCAATATCATGATAAACAACATAATAACCTATAACCAAGTTAACACCTGAGGAAATTTTTCTGAGTTGCTGGCTTGGATGAGGAACCTGCCCGCCCAATATCAGAGTCTAATTTGCTTTTGTAGCATCACGGGGAAGAGGTTCTTCCACCGAATTCATGACAAAAGTTGCAACGCAAATTTTTCCAAACAATGACCAACTTTATCACCCTTCCTTTCTGGAACTCTTTACAAAACATGGAACTCTTTACACTGATATCCTCCAGTACTGTTGCTGGATAACATCAAAGTCTATCCAAAAGCTGCTTTCTCGATCTTTGAATCACGAACTGCCTAGGTTGTAAAATCTGTCCCTGCCAATCCTTGCAACAATGCCAATTCCTGTACTGCTCTTCCCTTTCTTTCAGTGCTGTATCAATATCTGTTTTAATAAACACCGAATCTTGGGATTCTACGCCTTTATTTTATTGTTTTTTTTTTTGGGGAACCCATACAAGGGGGAAGGGGAATGGGGAAGGTTTTGAAAGTCGAATCAGCAGGCTAATGTCCCTGCTAGCTGAGCTGAGCTCGGCCTCTGGGACGGGTTTTGCACTTCTGCTGTTTTTGATGTTTGACTTGTTTGATCAGTGCTCTGCTCCTCTTCCTTTAGAATGGTACTTTTCCATCATTGATTACTAGAATGTTTACTAAGACTATATGCAACTACATCAACCTCGAGCTCCTCCCCTGAATATTAGACGAGCACTCCTTCAGTACTTTCAACAGAGCTTTGCAGGCTAATTTTTTTGCTGTATTCTTGTCTGCCGCAGAGTATGAGTAGTTGTGAGTGATACCATTTGCTTCAACCTCTAACGTGATCGTTGCCTTCCCATTCTCGTAATTCCAATCTGGCTTGTTCCTGATGTAACCTTCCTTCTGGCATAATTCATGGAACTCCCTAACCGGATGGAGCTTTAACTTGTCAGGTGTAATCATAGGCTCAAGAAGCGGCCTTATGCTTTGGAACACAACGTCCTTGTTGTATCCTGAATCGATCAGTATCGCCCCAGCAAGAGATTCAATAATATCGCCTAGCACCTATAAAATATCAGAAACATGAAAGTTGAATTTTATAAGAAAAATAGAAAATTAGCAAATGCAATCTTTTACTCAAAAGCACACTGCAGTCTAGAACATATGTGCCCGCTCAATAACAATTAACCTACATTACTGATCAAATTACCAGAGAATATCAATGAAAAAAAAGGGCGCGATTGGTAAGCGGAATTATTTCAATAGCCTATTAAGGAATATTGTTGTTGTCAAAATGGGTACAGTTATCACTCCCATCAGAACGTACTAACTATTACGAGGCTCACCTTTATGGAATGCTTTAAAGTCAAAATCATGATCTATTCTTTCAATATAATAAAAGAATCTTTTCTCAAAACAAGGCATGAGACAGGCAACATTACCTTAGGGATTTTTGTCTCCGATTCCCATCCAAAAGTTGAGTCCATTGATAATTGTTCAAAGTTTTGAACAGCACTCACGATGTGCCTTTGAAGCTCTTGTGAAGCATATAGAATGTGCTTATACAGTCCAGCCTTGACTGCAGATTGTGCATAGCAGTCGTTGCTCACTGATGCTGACCTTAAATCAGTTAATAGTCCAGGAGACAGCTCTGGATATTTAGCGTACAGATGCATGGTGATGAGATAATCCAACACAGCATCCCCAAGAAATTCTAGACGCTGATGAGAGAGGGGGGGGGGGGATTGGGGAAGGAGGGGAAATCAAGATGAGAACCCACAGAATATATCAACAAAGACGAAATAATAAGTCATGCTATCTTCAAAAAAATAGAAACCATCAACCATATGCAAATTACATTCTGATATAGTTTCAGTAGATGATTTCATTTGAAGGAACAATGTTTCACATATCTCCATAGTAATCTTCACCAAAAACAGATTTTATATTAGGGTAAATTACATATAACCTACCTGTGGTATTTCAGATTGCCACACGACGCCCTTAAGATTTCAAAAAGGCCACACCACTACCCTGTTGTTTTATCTAAAGTGCAAAATGCACGAAAGGAACTGTAGAGAACTTTGGCTAAAAATTGAAGAACATAATATTTGGAAGCACATCAAATTGGCATACATCAAAAAGCTGCTCTAATAGTGCAATATGTCTTGAACCACAAAGTTATACTATAAATGACAACCAAAAAAGACAGAGGACAAACCAACAAGTCATTTTTAACAGATGATTTAAATATCTTTACACTCAATTCAAGCAAATTAAACCTTGAATACAGAATCTTCAGCCAATTAAGTTGAGGCAATAGAAAAATAGATAAACAAAAAAAATTCTGAAAAAATCATAAATAGTAGGAAAATAAAATCGTATAGGTTTAACAGTAAAATAGTACATTCTTATATCACCTGATAACATCTTGGAATCTCAGGTAGCATGTAAGAACCATGAGTAAGTGCTTCAACAAGGAGAGAAGCATCACGGAATGAGTAGTTCAATAGAGACTCCAAGAATTTGACATTAACTAGCTGCTCTGGATTCACTTGCAGGGGCATCGTATATGGAACATCGACAAAATCAACCTTAATACCAAGCCATTCCAAAAATAACAAGGCTGCTATCTCACCTACTGTGCTAAGAAATGCACCAATGAGGGCCTCAACAACATCAGCCACCCTCTTACTTTTAATCTTTCTTTTCTCCCTTGCATAAACAACTCTTTTGGGTGGAAGCAGCTTTTTCTCCAGCCTGTACACTCCAGACTTATCACCAGGTATGATCCATGTTTTAGGATCAAACGGTTCATTGCGTACAAAGCCCTGTGATTTGCAAGAAATATGAGAAAAAACCAATCTACAGTGCAAAGGGTTGTCTGGATTACTAGCCAGCTATATATAATTCAAAATTTAGTCAACCTTGATGAGATGCAAAACATTTGTTAAAGCTACGTAGATGAAATTATTATGATGTGATAAGGATGCTCTGATGAGTTAAACTCTAATACAAGGTTAGCTAGGAAGAGTTACCGGGATATTATGATCACATCCTAGCTTGCATAATGAAGCATTGGAGATAATTTTATCTTTCTTGACACTAAGAATACCCTCGTGGTGATTTTGAAACGTTTTGAACAGTTGTTGACTTGCAGCGTACTTCAAAAAAGAGTCGCCAAGTGTCTCCAATGACTCCAAATGAAATTTTTCTTGACATTTTTTAGTTGTAATTGCCTCCAACACCTAGGATAGAAAGAATCATTTGCACAAAGACAATTAGGTAGTGAGATCCTCTTGAGAGATGAGAATTGATTTACATATCATGCCTCAAGGATATTTGACATAAAAAGCTACAGCTGCACAGATACAAATCAGTTACATGATTAACATAAACAAATTTATTGAAACATATATCCAACTTAAACCATTTATCAGGCTCAATTAGTTTGGCAGCTTCAACTACCCAAACTATTATATGGACACAAAATCCAAAGAGTGTACAAACGCTAAATTGTTCAAAGATCACAATTTCCAAAATGTAATTGTTGGCTTTCGACTCTTTACTAATTTACTTAAGCTTATGATGATAGTAGTACAAAGAAAATATCAGGCTGGTGTGATTAGCAAAGTTGTCTGGCCTTTTTGTTTTATTTAAAAAGCAAGTTGTCTCTGCATAGTTAAACTCAATTTCTGAAAACTTCGGTTTTTATCGGGCCAACTGGTATCTCAAGTCAGCAGCCTCACAGGCCACAGCATTTCCACTGGAAAGTTATACAGTCATCCTTTTAATTACTTCTGCCTCATTTAACCAAGCATAGGTGGAAGGGAAACCTAGAAGCGGAAGTGAAAGAAAGTTTTCCATCAATTTGGCTGGAGTAACTAGTAAAAAGAATGAAAAGAGGATTAAGGGCCCCAACAAAAATCAATTTGTTTTGAAACAGATAGATGCAAAAGTAATGATGGGCGTAACTTATAATTATTTATAACTCAAAAGAGACCACCTATTTCTATTTTACTGCTATTTCATTTCTTGGATGTGGTAAGGGTGGCTCTTACAAATTCACCAAGCCCCTTGCCTCACTAACACCCTTTGTTTGTCCAAGCATGGATTGCTCCTATTCTTGGATTTACCTCTCTTCCCAGTTGGCATACATAAACGGTATAGAACCTAAAATTGATAATATAACTCACTGGATACACTAATAGCTACACATCCATAAACTCATGTCCGCAAAAAATAACCAGATAACAAACCTTCATGGTTGGAATTGCATCATTTTGCATGCAGTGGTCCACGTGCATTCTTTTCAAATTGCCAGCTATTAA